TCGTACTAACCAATTCCTAGATTAACTAATTGGGAAAGCCATGTAGCCAACAACTAAATTCTAAGCAACGCTAGTTCACCCAATCTCATTCTTTTTCAGCACAAAAGAATCAGCTTGATTGAAAGGCACAAAAGAATCAGCAAGATGAAGGGGCACAATAAATGAACAAACAAATTGTCAATAAATACTTCTTTCTCTTGGCTTCCTCATTTCCAGTTCTAATCTCCGTCTCCTTGTGCCATATTCCTTTGGTTGAACTTTTACCTACTCTATTTTCAGTGATACTTCCTGCTTTAATAACTTCCTTCTGAGCTCTAATAACAATATTGTTATAATTAAGCTCTCCATGTTAAAAATTCTTGACTGAAAGGACAGGCAATGCGAGGGTGGGGGTGGGGAGGTATATAGAAAACAGTCAGAGGTTATTAGCTATATTAATAATGAATCTTTTAATATATTTAAATGCTGCCATAGACTTCCAGGTGTCCTGGTGTGACATTGTGGGTTAATGTGCTGAACTGCAAAGTCATTTCAACTGCAAAGTAGGCAGTTTAAGCTCACCAGTTGCTCCTTGGAAATCCTATACAGGGTCACTATGGGTCGGAACCAACTCAATGGCACTTAACAACAATAGACTTCATGGATTTTAGATCCTCCATTTGCTAAATGAACACGGAAACACAGCAACTGAGAAGGAAATTCTGTGTTTTGTTTTTTATTTTCATAGTCTTACCCTCTCTTTTTAAATATTCTAAGCACTTTAAGGGAAAAGAAAGACACGTTTACTCCCTATCTATCTAGCACAACCTCCAGCAACCTAGACAAAGTATGGTGGTCTTTCCTCCCTCTAGAGTCAGATACAGATCTGCTCAGCTCAGAGGATTCAAAGAGAAACAGGAGAAAGTATGGTAGTTGAGGGGCAGGGATGCTCCATGCTTGAGCAGCTAGCCTCAGGGGATGTGCTATCCTGATGAGGGCTGCTCAGGGCAAGCAAGCCTCTTCTCACCCACCACAGATCTGAAATGAAGACTGGTGGAACCCTTCCAGACAGGTCACTTGATTAACCCAGTTTGCGTCATCCTGATAACAAGGTCAAGTACTTCTCACTGTGAGGAATTTTCAATTTATTTCACAGATAAGATGGCTCAAGTCAAGCCAACTTCCCTGATGCCCTGGGAATGTTGTCAGAGGAAGCTAAGGGAGGAGAGCCGAGACCCTCTGCTTGGGCCATGCCCTTGCCTTCTTCAGGGCCCAGTGGCTAGGACTGGACTTTTCCCTCATGCTGAGGGTTCTGTGCTTTATCTTTACAAGAAAGGACACAGACTATTAAGAGTAAGAATAAGGCCAACCCTTCCCAACGTCCATTGGACTCAAAGTGCAAACTTCAAGGGAAGGGATTTCTTTTTAGGACTGGTTTTGCTTGGCATTTATCTTAAGTGTTTGTGAAGTGCATTACATTGGCAGTCAGGTGGGCCTCTTGCTGGCACTAGCTGGGGAGCGGCACTGTCTCTGGATGGAGTTGATAAGCGTACTAAACGTAAGCTGGGGTTTCCTGTGGCCATCCCTGCTCTTCTGTGTGTTGGCGTTATTCTCAGGCAGACTTCCCATAAGGGAGCAAAAAAAAAAAAAAAAAAGAGATGGAGAGACTGGGAGAGGGGCAGAAGACAGAGGGGAGTCACTTGATCACATTTTGGGTAGCCCTGAATTAATCCATGCTTTGTATTGTTTTTTGTTTGTGAATTGAGTGAACGTTTACAGGGCAGATCATCACTTTTACATTCAACAAACTTAACTATATTTTTAGAATTCCCACTTAAATTAGCTCATAAATTTACTCTCCCCTCCCCCCAAACCTGCTTGAATTGGGTATCTGTCCATTTCATTAGCAATTTAAAACACGTACACACACAAAAACTCAAAACAAAACCTTTAATATTATCTGCTGGTGTACCAAACGTGTTATCAGAGCCACAAAAGTTAAGCGGTGTTCAAATATGTTGGCTGCAAGGTACAGTGGAAAGGATTTCAAGCATGAGAGCTAGTTACAGAAACAGAAAAAGAATCGGATTGTCCTAAACAGTTCTGTTACCTTGGGCAGCTCGCTTCTCCATGCTGGGGCCTGAAATCTTTCACTTTAAAATCAGTGGGTCACAGAGAAGGACCAAAGAACTCTTCCTAAATGGAGCGCTACCCACTGCCAAGGGGACGCCCTTATTTCACAGGGTTTTTATGTGTGGCTGAGTGTTTTGCTAGTTGATTTCATTGTTGTATTTTTCAATCAATGTAATAATACTTTCTTTGCCCTTGCTGTTGTTAAGTGTCACCAAGTTGGTTCCCAGGAGCAGTTGGTGGGTTTTAAGCAGCAACCTTGCAGTTAGCAGTCCAATACTTAGCTTACAGTACCACAGGACTTCATTCTTATGCCCTAGGTTTAGCTTTTGTTTGGGTTTTGTGTTGCCTTTGGTGTGGATCCTGGAACAGGTTGATTCATTGCAAGCTCCATTAGCAGAGTGACCATCTATAGGTTGGTATTTTGTTTGACCTTAATGCTGCAGACTGCAAAGTAACTTAGGTAGGCTCATCGTAATTTCAAGACATAGTCATTCATTTATGTCTTTTCTTTTTCTAATTATCCTTCTTTCCTCCACTTTGGATCATTTTATTCATTTGTTTACCCCTCAACATTCTCTGTCAGTACATGCTCTTGACCTTAGAAGTCTACTTAAGAACTCTAAACTTTTATTTTGCATTTTCCATATCTTCTCTTCCCACCATGAAATGTGGGATTTCATGTCACCACATCTACCACTTATGGAGCATCTACTACAGGCCAGTACTTTGCTGCATCATTTATTTACTATCTCCCAAATACCCCATCAAATGGTATTAGAGATTGCATTACTTTGGCTAAATTAGCCAACTTTTCTGGTCTCACTTTCCTCTAAAATAGAAGCAATGGATAGCAAAGCTGAATCTGGAAACTTAGGTTCTATTTTTCCAACCCTGTTTTCTTCCTACTGAAATGGCTTGAATCCCTTCATGTATGCCAGATGCTAAGCACATTACACATATAGCATTCGAACAAGCCAGCATCCTTCAGATCTCTGATTAACTGTTTCATCAATGACCAATGAAAGGCTGGCTCAAGAACAATCACTAAGATGTCTTTGAAGAGTCAGCCAAGAGAGTCAGAAAAGAAAGTATAAGCTCAGAGAGAATGAGAGTCAAAGGCAAGAAACTTCCTTTCACAATCAATCAAAGTTTCATACAGCAGACTCTTCTTTTCCGAATTTCCCTTAAGGAAACAACTACGTCTCCCCCCCCCCCCCCCCCCCCCACCATTCGCCACCCCCCTCCCACAGATTTAGAGGAAAAAAAGGAAATTGTGTTAAATAAAAACATACAGATGATGTGATGCCTAGGAAAGTAGTTGGTTCCAAATTTGGATTCACATCTATAATACTTGAAAAGATTATAATGTGGATTTCATGAAAAAAAAAAAAAATCAGTATGATTGTCAAAGGAGGAATCATTCTATATGTTCATAACCAAAGGTTTGGTGTAAGGGCTTACTTCTTCTCTGGGTCCTTAGCAGTGCTGTGAGAAGCTAGAATCCATTTTTCTCCTGCTAAATTGCAGGTGCAGATAATAATTTGTCGACAGTAACAGGAAGCTGAGTGCCAGAGGTGAGCAGGGTCAGATGCAAATCTGATGGGTTACCTGCTGCCCACCCTTCAATTGCAGTTCACTAGGAAATGGGGTTCAACAGGGCTTTCCTTGACATCTCTGTTATTCATTATTTGTGCATGGATAAAATTATAGAGGTGAATCTTCTGCCAAGTAACAAAGTGGCAGTTGAGAGGAAGGTGTATGCTAGGAGGTGGGCCAAGGGGTAATTTAAGGTTGTTGTTAATAAGGCTTTTATAGAAGGTTCTAAAACCATCTTGGAAGACTGAAGAGCATGAGAATAGATTATGGGTTTATTTAAAGTAGATTGAAAAGCTCCCAGTACTGGAGGGGGAAAAGCCAATTTTTTTTTAGTAGCTGAAAAAATCCTATTTTTAACTCATCTGTCTGGAAGACTTCAGAAACTTGAATCATGAGGTTTCTATCAGGGCATTCAGGCCAAGACTAATTATGTTAATTGAATGAGCAAAGGAGAGGAATAACAAAAACAACATAGTGTGGTGCTGTGGGTTAATGTGCTGGGCTGCAAAGTCGGTTTGAACTGCAAGGTCAGGTGTTCAAGCTCACCAGTCACTCCTCAGAAACCCTATACAGGGTAGCCATGGGACGGAACCAACTCAACAGCACTTAACAACAACAACAACATAGAGAAGGGACAATCTTTTGAAGTTAAAATGAGGAGAAACTTGACTATGGGGACCAGAAGACAAAGTGAAAGAAATATGCCCACACATACACACAAATATTCCAGAAGATGATGGAGATGGGAAGAAGACGGATCACTGCATAGAAAGTAGAGGTCCTCTGAAGTCAGTATTTATTACTATAAACCAAATCAGGCCATCATCATGTGGTGGTAATAAAAGAATGAATACTTTATACATGATGCATGCCATACCTTTCCCAAAATGCATATATCCTGCCATTAGACTCCTATGGCACTGTTGTTATGGGAATTCTTGTGATGCTGTGATGACACTCTTGCGCTGGTTCATTGCCTATGTGTCATTCCCTATGTGTCATTCATTCCCTATGTGTCATTCAATTATCTTGGACAGCGTTTCATGTTAGTACTCACAGATATATCGAATTCAGTGTGAATACTGCAGAGTATTCCATAGTGCAGGGATACTGATTAATTTAGGCAGTCCCTATAATAAACTCTCTTGTGTTTCTTTTTAAGGCTGTAGTTAGGGTCACCACTTTACAAACAACAAATTAAGGACCAGAAAGTCCAAGGCCCAACAAACAGCTAGGGCCTTCCCTCTCAACCCAAAACCCACAGAGACCCCTTCAAGCTGCTGAGGACTCACCTGCTCCAAGTCTTCCACGGAGCGTTTGCTTTCTTCTATTGAGTCCTGATAGGGTAAGACAAAGAGCTCAGCAGCAGTGGGCAAACCAGGAAGCACGGCCACCAAGATGTGCTGGCCGGGAACCCCTGTGGCCTGAGGGAGAGACAGAGAGGCTCGTATAAGTTCTGAAGACAGCACAGCCAAGAAGGGAACAGGATGATGAAAAGGGACCAGGTATTTGTCAAGGGGTCAGGGGACTCAAAGGAGTGCTGCTAGGAGGAAGTGGAAGCAGGCCCTGTGCACAGTGGCAGGAAGGGGCTGCCAGAAGCAGCAATAGGGCTGGAGTGTGGCTCTTAGAGTCAGATTTGGAGGTTTATTTAAAGCTCCAACACCTGAGACCTTTCACAACTGTAAATTGTATCTGCATTACCCCAAATAAAAATTGGGGGCAATAAGAGTCCTTGCAGCTTCAAAAGGTAATTTTGAGAATTAAATGAGTTGCATGTGAAGTATTTATAATATTGCCTAGTGGCACTGTAGGATAAGCACTTGACCATAAGGTCGGTTTGAACCACAAGGTCAGCTGTGAGTCCAACTGCAAGGTCGTTATGAGTCAAACTGACTCGATGGCACTTCATACTTAATGTACTTACTAGCACACAGTGAGGATTTCAATATTAGCTCCATGTGCTGGAATGCATCTGTGGGCTGGAGGCCTGGAGGAGACCAGCACCTCTCATACCTTCACTTTTTCTAACCTAGTTTTTCCCCCCTATCCTGGAGTTACTGCGTAGATCCACCTGCTGTATCTTAAATCTCCTAACCTAGTAAGGTCTCTGCCCACACTGCAATCCTCAGACAGCTCCTGACTTCTCTGCAGTATGGAATCCTGGTGACCAGAACCTGTTTGATGATGCCCTTCACTTTGCCATGTTGACTTTTACAATATCTTTTCACCTTTCAGACTGCTATGCCTCTGTCTCCTTGTCCAGCCTCTTTCACTGTTAAAATATAGATGTCACTCAAGGATGTCCTATACATCTGCTCGGTCCTGTATCTAAAGGTTTCTTCTGATTCCTCTCTCTAGAAAGTTCTAGGGTTATTAGGAATCAGATCAACTTTTTTTTCTTAGGCGGGCAATCAGACTTCACCACTTGGTTATTTCACCAGAACTTCCAACAAACGTCAAAAAAACACACAAATGAATACTCTTTATTTCAAAACCAACAACCTTCATTCTGCATTTGGGCTAACAGAAGCTGTCCTTTCCTAGACCCCTGGCTTGAAGCCTTATCTTCACTTCTGGTACCATACTCTTCTTCCCTTTACCATCTCCAATTAGTCATATGATGAATCGATAGTCACATTAACCATTCTATCTGTTTTTGTTAACATCTATTATTAATATTCCAATTTTGCTGCTGTACTTCCAACTCTGAGGTTTTATACTAACCTTGTCATTTTCAGGATACATGCTATTTCTTCCTGATTTGTCTTCCCTTAGTTCAACTCAGATCATGTTCTAAACATTTACAATATTTCCCTTTTCTAAGTGGAATCCTGCTATGGCATTGTATGTAGTACAATTACTGGACTGTTAACCACAAGGTCGGTGATTCAAACCCACCAGTGATTGGAACCCACTGGTGACTGGAAACTCTATAAAGGATTGTTATGAGCTGGAACCAACTCAATGGCACTTAACAACAATGATAAATGGATTAAATATACATTCAAAGCCTTCTGCAATGTGATCCCATCCTTTCTCTGGCATCTAATTATACAAGAATCATACATGCATCCTGTGCTACACCACAATTTATCAACATTCCAGTCTTCCTGCAAATATTTCTGCGCATGTCAACTCCACCCAGAACACTTTTCCTCTGCATTTGATGATGGGACCCTACTTTATGCTTTATGAGTCGTTTTGTTGTTGTTAAGTACCGAGAAGTCGGTTCTGACTCACAGTGACCCAACATAGGGTCTCCGAGGCTGTAAATCTTTATGGGAGCAGACTGCCTCATTTTCCTCCCGCAGAACCTCTGGTAGTTTCGAACTGCCGACCTTGAGGTTAGCAGCCAGTCTTAGAGTCTAATTATTCCAGTACATTTTTCATTATTTTCCAGCTAGGTGTTTGTTTGTCTCTGAACTCTACAGCTTACACTTTTTTAGAAGTTGAAGGAAGAAAGTAACATATGTCAAGCTTTGTGTTAGGCTACTAAGCAATCCAATTGTATGCAGCTCCCACAACACGGTGAAACAGGTATTTTTTTATCTCACTTTGCAGGTGAAGGTATTGCACAGGTTAGGATCTTCATGAAGCAGACATTGCATTTAATATGAGGGTGTTTATTAATGATTTCTCTTAAGATAAACACCTGAGGGAGCGAGACAAGGAAGGAGCAATGAGCAGAGGAAGAAGATGAGTTATCCTGTATGCTGAAGACAACCTCAAGAGCTATACCACTGGGGAGTTCCTGAGCCCATCAGAGTTGTCTCAAGTTGGGCTGAGATGGCCGAGCCTTTATAGAACTGCTTCAGTCCATCGTTCGGCATGGACCACCATGGAAAGGGGCATGACCTGGGGCAAGGGAATTCACTATAATTGAGGCAATTCAGGAAGGGGCCGAAGCCTCTGACCACATCACTCCCAGGAACTGGGACAACAATTCCCAACTGAATGGGGATCCGAATGCATCTCTGGTACCATCATAGGAAACACAGATGTAGGGAGGTTAATGAGTTATACATTTGCATAGGGTGTAGTGAAGCTGAGTTTGAATTCTAATCTTACTATATAGGGTGTTCTCTTAACCACTAGTCTATAGCTTCCTTCTCCTGATGCTTATCAAATACTAGCTCCTCAGGCTGCTAACCTCAAGATCGGCAGTTCAAAACTACTAGCTGTTCTGTGGGAGAAAGATGAGGCTTTCTGCTCCCATAATGATTTGCAGGCTCGGAAACCCTGTGCAGGGTCACTATGAGTCGGAACCGACTCCACAGTACTTAACAACAACAACATTACAGCTAAGCACATACAGATTTATGCCTTGTTGTTGTTAAGTGCCGTCGAGTCGGTTCCGACCCATAGCGACCCTGTACAAGGTTTCCGAGGGTGTAAATCTTTACAGGAGTAGAAAGCCTCAACTTTCTCCCACAGAGCTGCTGGTAGTTTCGAACTGCTGACCTTCAGGTTCATAGCCCGATTCGTAACCACTATGCTACCAGAGCTCCTTTATGCCTTAACTGATGTTAAACATCAGAATGATCTTCATTATATAGAAAGGGCTCAAGAAACATTTATTAAATGACAATGTTTCAAGATGCCTCGCATCACTGGACTCAGAAATTTCACTGAGATGGAAGGCACTTGAATTTTTCTTGGGTTAATTTCTCACCCTTTACCACACAGAAACATCTGTAAACAGTTATTAAAAATTAGAAAGTACAATGTACACATGATGAATCTAGGATAATGGGAAGCTATCAAAAATGAAATAGAACACGAAGATCAATATCCTAGGTTTGGCAATTATGTAATGATGTAATCATCTTCCATGATATAATACCTGATATTATCAGCCAATCCATTGTAAGGGGAGTTTCCTTTGGGGTGTGGCCTTCCTATGTTTTGTTAGGTGCCATTGAGTCGGCACTGACTCATAGAGACCCTATGCACAGCAGAATGAAATACTGCCAATCCTGTTTTATATATATACACACACACACATACGGAGCTCTGGTAGCGTAGTGGTTACAAATCGGGCTGTGAACCTGAAGGTCAGCTATTCGAAAACTACCAGCTGTTCCACAGGAGAAAGATGAGGCTTTCTGCTCCTGTAAAGATTTACAGCCTCGGAAACCCTGTACACAGGGTCACTATGAGTTGGAACTGACTCCACGGCACCTAAGCATCACCACCACCATATATATATATATATATATTCTAGCTTACTGGCTTGCTCTGGATCCTGTCCATGGCTCATCATCATTTTGTCTCTGGTTCTTGGGATTTGGCAGCCTTGGCAGCTTGTGAACCAACATCTTACCTTCTAATCTTTGATTCATTAGCCCCTTCAACTATGTAAGTAAAGAGAAGCCTCCAGTTTGACACCTGACCCTCAGATTTGAGTCTTGCCAACTTCTGCAACTGAGTGAGCTATTTCCTTGATATATATATTGGTGTGGTGTTGAAAAACAAACACAAAAGATGAACTGGTGAACTCAAGGTCAATGGTTCAAATCCACTATCTCCTTCTCAGAAACCCTATACAGTGTCACTATGAGTCGGAATTGACTCAACGACACTTAAGAAGGATATATATATTTATTAATATTCAAAATATCAATATCTATAGACCAAGTATTGGTGAAAATCAAAGCTCTGGATTATGTTGTACAATTTTGTCATAGATTTGAAGCACAGGGAAGCTGCCAGATTGATCTTGCTTTCACTAGACTAAGTGGCAAAATAAAGAGATGAATCAGGACTTCAGAGTCACATTTCAAACACTGCATAAGAAGCCTGAAAGTTATCACTTACTGCTTTATTTCTTGTAATAACAGAGCTGATATTTCAAAAAATCAAACCAGAGTCCGATAATAGGAGTGGCTTAGTTACAATACCATTTGAAGTCCCCCTTCAAATGGTATCTGATGTTAAAGTGAAAGCATTGATTGGGAAGAAACAGGACCCTAAAACTTGGGATAGGGACTTATGGGCATATAAGCAGGCATTTTGGACATTGAGTCCCTAAATTGCATTGAATCACTCCCAGTAAGAGAGCCAGCCCTCACATCTTCATTTTAGATTAACTCAGCTGTACTTGGTGCTTTGAGATAGTGTCTGAGGCAGGTACCTTAAAAGATATTGCCAAACCACAGACAACATGCATGCCCCAATCAAGCTGACACACAACCTTACCTATCATAACATTCAATTAAATATTTCACTGTGACTTGTCAATACAAAAGCTTCTTTGAAGAGGTAAAGGTAACTAGTTTTATATCAAATACATAATAGGAAGACCATGAGAAATACGCTGATTTCACTTGTAAGGTTTATTAAACAATGTGGTACTACACTGACAGTGTGATACCACAGGACTTAACAAAGTGACACCCCTCCCCCCACCCAAATAATTACTGATCTCAAAGACAAAAGTGGGTCTGGGAACCAAGGCCTGGGGAAGCAGCATCTTGGGATTTGTTGACCTGAAGGCCTTAATAACTGGAAGGCATTAACCTCACCACAACTACCATACAGTTTTGGAAAGTAGTGAACCAATTCATTTATTCTGCCTTTAGCTGGTTTTGCTATGCAGCAGTCTAGAAATATGAGCAGTGATTTTTAGGTTACTGGTCAGATGGTGAACAGGTGAAGATTCGGAGCATCTGATCCCTGGATAATGAGTATGGAGAAAAATCAGACTGGAAATCTACTTATTGCTGACCTAGTGCCAGGTTGATAAATCACCTGGGAGAGTTTGACTGTCACCTGGGAGATCTACAGGGATGTGGGTCTCCAGAATGCTGCATACTGAAGGAGGCTGGCACTGAGGTCATCGAAGGGAGCCATCTCTTTTGAACAGCCGAAGAGATAAAATAGCGGTCACACCCTGGACAGGACAACAGGCAGCTCCAAGGACAAAAAAGGCTTATTTCAGTTGAATATGTAGTGTTCACAATGGTTAGTTACTAATCATGCCAAGGATGCTGAGAGCCATGAAGACAGCGCCATGTGAGGTACCCTGAGGCACATGAAGATGCCCCTTCTCTGCTCCAGTGTTGCTCCACCCAGCCCTGTTATCCTACATAGCACAGAAAGGGACAGCCATCAAATGGAGTGGCTTAGAAACCCCACAATCAAAATTCAAACTTAGATCATCTGAGTTCAGAGCTTGAATTTTAATTTTATAACCTTGGGCATTCAATCTAATGTCTCTGAATTTGGATTCCTCACCTGTGGACTGAGGATAATCATATCTACTTTATAAGGTGATTTTGTAGATTAAATATGTGAACGTTTTGAAGCATAGAGAATACCTGAAATATTATCTAAGTGTGCTAAACCCATGTCAGCAAAGGTGATAGAAACAATTATGAAGATAGGGAAGGTTAGCTAGAGGCTGGATGGAGAACCTATTTAAAGAGCGGGGGTTATCTGAGCTCCCATATCTCCTCATCTCTTGGTGTCATGTGACTTCATAATACTGGGTGCAAACAGGAGAAAACATGTACTGAACACTTTAAGTTGAATTGTCTTCTGGGTTAAAAAATATTCTTGGGAGATGTAGCTCATTTATGATTTTTTAGCATCGTATAATAAATTCCAGGAGATGGGTGGCTGTCCCATTCCTTTGTTCAGTCATGAAAGTGGAGTATACCGGGAGAAGAGATGCCAGAAATAAAGTGCTGTCTCAAATTGTCCATGTTAATTTCTCAGAGAGGAGTAAGCCATACCTCCTTCGCATTTTCCTAGGAATCTCAGAAGGCTGTGTTGCATGTATAAAATTCCAGGCATTGAGATCAGACTTAAAATGTGCACATTATCCACCTATTAGATGTGAGACTTGGGGCAAATTCCTTTGCTTCTCTAATCCTAAATTGCCTTCTCTGTTAAATGGGGATTATGACCGCTTTCTCTTGGAGCTGTTGCAGGAGAGGGATACCTTTAAAAGCACTGGGAGAGATCATATGCCCTGAGTGCTTTCTGTAATGTTTGTTTGCATGGTGGCGCATTCTAATCTTACTCAACTCTGAGAACCTTGATGTGTCCCTTCATTATTATGTGCAGCAGCTGACTTCACTAATGACCTGATGGAGGCCTTTGCTCTGTGTGTCATAAACATCTATGGTTGTCTCCTTACTCTTCAAGCAGAATAAATTCAGAGGGCAGGGACCATGGGTCTGGGTCCTGTTTGCATACCCACCATCACATCTATGATACGTCTACGTGTGTGGCACTCAGCAAGGAAGATATCATCTCAGACAGATGAACTAAACCTCTATGGACTTCAGCTCCTTCCTGTCACTTCTGTATATGGGGGTCCCTCACCATGAAGCTCTGCAAGGACAGAGGGAAAATGTGCCTGGGCAGGAGAAGGCACTATTTACACTTACTTCCACCAGGGATTTTTTGATGACTCGGCTGATGTCCCTCCTCCACTCAGGGATGTCCGGATTGTAGTCGTCTAGGTTTGGAGAAAAGGATAGGCGAAAGGACCGGAATTCCTCTGGGGATACAACAGCAGAAGGAATTCATGAGTGAATCACTTCTTCCAAAAAGTCTCATGATTTAGATCTTAGACAAAGCCCTAAAGAAGGGTCTCTTTCACCCCCAGTCTCTGAAAAGACTTTTAGACTATAAATCCAGTACCTTGTCCCTGCTATCTCCCTAGCTCCTGATGTTCCAGCCCCAAACCCTAAGACTTATTGGGCATTCCAGGCTCTGGCCCACTCCTATCTCATCTTGTTCCTAGTTCTTGACTCTACCTGATCTGGACTTCCCTGAATGCATCACAGGTTCATGACTCTGCATTAGTGATCTCCCATCTAGACTTTTCCATCCCCCACTGTCCACACACAACAGCATGATACTCTAACTCGAGCCTTTCCCAACTACCTACATAGCCCATATTTTAATTTTCTATTTTTGTTGGTACCACTGTATTTTACACATCCCTTTATGAATATTGTATGATGTTATAATAATTCTTATTATGTGGTAGCGTAGTGGTTACAAATCGGGCTGCAAACCTTAGCAGTTCGAAACTACCAGCTGTTCCGCGGGAGAAAGATGAGGCGTTCTGCTCCTGTAAAGATTGACAGCCTCGGAAACCCTGTACAGGGTCGATATGAGTCAGAACCGACTCCATGGCACATAACAACAACAATTATGTGATTATGTAATAAGTATCCACGTACTGTTCTATTACTGTTTTTTGACTGCAGGGCAATTTGCTATAATGGACTTTTAGCTCTTTAATTTAGGGCTTTATGAGTTTACTCTGTAGCCCCTCAGTGAATCTAGGTTCTCTGCAAAGTAGTCTCCAAGATGGGATGAAAAGAGCAAGAGTCTTAGGAGTAAATTGCCTAACAGAGAACATGGGAAGGAGTCCACAGGAGGTTCCAATAAACCATGATGCCAAAAAGATATTAAATACAACACTAAGTGAGAGAGAGTTGGAAGGAAGGTTTAGCAGAAGTCTTCTCCACCTCTATACAGTCTCAGCAAGACTGTCAGTGGCTCTTTGAGCCAAAGTCACCGGCAGAAGAGGCAGTCCCTCATTTCCTGGGAATGAGTCTGTGTTAAAAGCGCTGCTGGTTTCGGTCATCAGCTGGGAACAGCTCATGCAAAGCATGGTCTTCATGCCAGACTGGTGGTGGCTTTTGGAGTCCAGCTCCTTGGTCATTTACAGTCTCTGTAGTTGGAGGTCTAAAATCATTTACTGTTGAGTTGGCTCTAACTCATGATGGCCCCATGTTCGTCCCAGCAGAACTGTGCTCCATCAGGTTTTCAGTGGCTGATTTTTCAGAAGCAGATCTTTTCTTTTGAGGGACCATAAGGTAGATCTGAATCTCTAGCCTTCTGGTTAAACCTCTGCAACCATTAGCATCACCCAGGTGCTGTGCTGGCGGTCTGAGAGGTACAGTCTTCTGGCCTCCACAACCCCTGTCCCAAAATAGTCTTTGATACTTGCTAAGGAGCTCTGGTAGCGTAGTGGTTACGAATCGGGCTGTGAACCTTAAGGTCAGCAGTTCGAAACTACCAGCCACTCTGTGGGAGAAAGATGAGGCTTTCTGCTCCAATAAAGATTTACAGCCTCAGAAACCCTGTACAGGGTCACTATGGGTTGGCACCGACTCAGCGGCACTTAAAAACAACAACTCTCTGATTCAAGGTCAGCAGTTCAAGCTCACCAGTCGCTCTTCATTAATCCTATACAGGGTCGCTATGGGTAGGAACCAACTCAATGGCAACCACAACAACAACTCTCTGATTACTTCACTCCCCTAAAGCCTGCTAGTAGCTCTCTAGCATTTAGAATAGAATTCAGATTCTTACCTCCATCTTCATAGACTTCCTCACCTTTCTCCTGTCCTCCCGGAATTCTCTGCACTCTCCATCTGCTCCACGACCCTGTCCTTCTCCCATCCCTTAATCCCAGGGTACTCCTTCCAACCTCAGGGCACCTGGGACTTCTTCTCATCATTCAGTCTTTCTCTGGAGGGACCTCCCCCATTATGAAGCTCAAGTCACCTTTATTCCACGCACCACAGGCACTTTCATCATATGACCCTATGTGATTGTGTCTTCAGACTCACCTCTAGTCTTAATTGTGTTATTTCTGCATTTACCCGCAATATAACAAATTATAAAGTCTATAAGGGCAGGATGCACAGTAGACATTCAGCTAATCTGTGATTTATTTAATGCATGCTTATTGAATAAATAAACGTACAAATTACACTGGAGACCCTTTGGAATTTTTGTAGTTACTTATTCAACAAACATGCATTTTTTAAAAAATATATATATATTTAGCTTTAAAACCCACAGTAGAAAGCATGTCCTTGTGTTTCAGAAGGGGTTAAGAAGTATCAGGAATTTCTAGTCTCCATTCTGGAAGCATAAACAGCCACTTGTGTATTTCCTAACAATGCTAAAGTGTTATCAAACACATGCTTTGACGATTCTTACATTACAATGTGTGCATTTGAAGCAGTTACCCTATTCCTAAGACATATTTTTCAAAGCTTGACTATTTTATGAGTCACTGGCTACCTATGTGAATATCACCGCCTCAGCTCTGATGGAGAATAATGAAATGCATATTAATTAGTAGCGTGGTAAATGGCAACACTGAGGAGCCAACCACTGAGCCCCAACTTTTCTCTTTGAAGATATAAGTTTATGTCATTATCATAGTCCCCCACCCGAACTTCGAACCAAACAGCTGAGACTTTATCTACAACTAAGGGAGAATGTTTGCCTCAGTAAAAGGATGTAAATGAGAAAACGGATAGCACTCGCTCCATAATTACTTAATATGCTAAGTAGCAAGGCAGGGAGGGAGAATGTCTAGAAACATATAGGGGACACGTGTGGGAGAACTGGAAAGGGTAAACACCAATAATATAGTTTTTAGCTTTTGGATTTTGTGGTTTGTTTTTTTTTTTCCTAGCAGCTGCTTAAAGAGATGAATTCTATAATTTCTCTCTCTCTCTTCCCTCCCCACACCCCCCCACATACACTATTTGAAAGCAAGTCTGTGCCTTGAAGCAAATTAGGCAAAAGCAATGCAAATTTAGTTTTCCTTCCTGCAGCCTTCTGTGAGGTTGTGAGTAAGTAACCTTCCTCCCTCTGTCAACTTCCCATGTAAGATGCCGCCTTACTCACACTCATCCTCAAAACTTCCTAATCACATACATGGGAGTGCGGTGGCTCTGTAAGGTAAGCACTAGACTGAGGCAGTTTGAGGCCACCAGTCAGTGATTCCAGTCCATTAGAGGAGGCTTTCTGCTCCCGCTAAGGCCTACAGCCTCAGAAACCCTATCTATACAGGGTAGCTATGAGTGGGAAGCTACACAACACCATTTAATCAACAACAATCACATCCATGGAGTCCTCAGATGAGATGGTGCAACTGGTTAACGCACTCATCTGCTAATCAAAAGGCTGATGGTTCAAGCCCACACAGAGGTGCCCTGAAAGATCTGGTGATCTAATTCCAAATAAATCAGTCACTACAAGCCCTATGGAGGACAGTTCTGTTCTGCCACACATGGGTGACCATGAATTGGGGTTGATTCAATACCAACTGGTCTTGTTTTTAACCACTAACGTGGGATTCTAAACTACTCATCTAAAAAGACAAATTGAAGATGGTTGATGGTTGAGAAATCTGGTTGGGGAGAGGGAGGTATTACTTCATGTGCCCATGCATGTAATGAAGGGAAGGGAGATTAACTACTGGAGAAAGGATGACCCACTCTTGGATAATCCTTTTAAAGAGATTGTAGGAGGTGGAAGGTAGTGAAGAACATTTCCTCTGGATTCAGAATTCTTGGGCTGCTAAACGCAAGGCTGGTGGTTCAAACCCACCAGGTGCTCCATGGACACAAGATGAGACTGTCTGTATAGAGTCTTAGAAACCCTAGGGAGTTTCTACTCTGTCCTATAGAATTGCTCTGAGTGGGAATCAATTCGGTGGCAGTGGGTTTGGTTGGTTTTGGTAGGTTTGATCAATAGACTTTGTATGTTCTCATGTGTAAAACAGGGACAATTATAGACTGTTTCTCGTAACTCTTTTTAGAGGACTTCATGAAACAGATCACATCAAATGCTTAGAAAAGAGCTTCATCTATGTTCATTACAACCAGCATCACCACCTTGATTATTCTTAGACCTGTCCCTAAAGAGTGGAATGATTTTTAGCCACTCATTTCTCATGTCTGGACTATAGTTGCTTTTCTGTAAAATGATGGGGCTGGAGCAGATAAGCCCAAAGACCTTCCAATTTTATGATTCTCTCTAAAATTCTAATGGGGCGGGGTTTGCCAGTATGCATAATGAAGAGAAGGACATCTAAGGGACTAAAGGGTCAGTATCCATTAGTGCTGCCAGTGAGGCCAAGGAGAGGAAAGAAAAAGAGCATCAGAAGGAAAAGCAACGAGAGCCAGTTAAGCAGAGGAGACGCAGTGCGTGGATGCAGGCTAGATAGGTTAGGCTGCATGCCCGCCTTCACAACTTAATAGCTGGGGGGTCTGTTATGTCTACGAACAATGGAGATAATATTGCCATGCACCTTATAGTAAGAATTTGGTTTTTTTGAGGATTAAAAGCATTCCTAGCACATAGAAAGGAGACAGGGAAAGGAAAGGCAATCAGAACTCCTCCTTTATACAGTTTTGGGCTGGGCTTCTGGCTTGCAGGTTACCTTCCTGACAGGACAGTGTTAGGAAAACTGCAGCTCTATCTACTTCCAGGACTCCTGGTGTGTGGCATTGTAGGGTCAGCACTGGACTGTGAACCACTAGGTTCACCAGCTGCTGCTCAGAAACCCTATACAGGGTTGCTGTGAGTTGGAATCAACACAAAGGCACTTAACAACAATAAAACCAAATCTACTTCCACTCACTGCTGGGGGCTATAAAGGAAGAAAGGAACCACTGTGAAATCTAATGCCCGGTCATGGAAGGAAACGTGTTCTTAAGGCCATTTGACCATCAGATATGTCCAAATTTGCTTCTCAATCCTTTTCTGAATTCAAAGGTCAAGTTGGAAAGATCAGAAACGAAAACAGGATGGGTTTCCACAAAGGAAAATCTAGTCCACGATGACCTTATTGAGTCAATTAATTCTCCAACTGAGGCAATTAATTTAATTTGGGTCCCAAGCTAGTTTGCCCATCTTTCTCTCGGTCCCTTTCACTCATCATGGTGTTTATTTATATTCACTTTAAAATTTTTGTCTGAATTAAAATGTTAATCTTTCAAAACATACACAAGCAATTTTCGCATTAATGATAAAAGTTTACATTTTTGTCATCTGCCAGTCACACTGGGAGTGCAGAGGCTCTGTACGATAAGCACTGGACTGCCAACCACAAGATTAGCAGTTTGAGCCCACCAGCCACTTTGTGGGAGAAACATGAGGATTTCTGCTCCCTTAAAGATTCACTGCCTCGGAAATCCTATACAGACTCACTAGGAGACAGAACAGACTCGACACATTAACAATAGTAGTCACACTTGGGCGCTCAGGGGCTCAGCACTGGACTGTAAACCACAAGGTCAGGAATTCAAGCCCGCTAGCCACTCTGCAGGAGAAAGACGAAGCTTGCTTCTCCCTCAAAGATGAGGTTTGACAGCGTCAGAAACGCTACACAGGGTCGCTAGGAGTCAGAACTGACTCAATGTCACTTAAAAACAATCACAAAACAGTCACACTTCATGCATATCCATTTAAGGATTGTTTAAACATAAGAAAAATTCAAAATGAGATCAATCTATATATGCTGTTTTTAATCGCCCCTTTCCCATCAAATATTTCCACTTTTGTATTTCAGTTAATTTTCATTCCATCTAATACTCTAATCATGTTCAATTCTCCCTAATTGTTCTGTCCAGTCATGTGTTCAAACCAATACCACTCTATAACTAGGCATTTTGTTTTCACCCTCCATGACTTTTAACTTAAGTTTATTTATTTTTTATGTATTTTATTGTGAATTATGTGATAGTTTACATGGGAGAACATTAACTTTACATTCATCCTATCGTATATCGGTTCATTGCCATGGTTACAATCCCCTCCATGCATCATCAACCAACCAAAGGGTATACCCTGCAAGCCTGCCCCCTGGTTGTCAGCACACAGCCCCTCTCCGTCTCTGGGTCTAGAGGCCCAGCCATTCCCTCTCTCCACTTCATAGTCTCTGCCTCCATCACTGCTTCTCTGGGTTGTTATCATGTGCTGTGGAGTTGGTTCCCACTGATAGCGACTCTGTACAGGGTTTCCGAGGCTATAAATATTTACAGGAGCAGAAAGCCTCATCTTTCTCCCGCGGAACCGCCGGCAGTTTCAAACTGTAGGGTCCGTCATTTTGCTCTTCTCCCTTGATGGTCACAGCGACCTCCGCTCCTGGACTGCAAAGCCCACCACTCCCCTCGTTTTGCTACAAAATGTCTACCTTTACATTTCCAACCCTCACAGTCAGTCCTGATAGCAATTATTCACTATTGTGCCATACAAGTGCTATCCACATCTCCTTTCATCAGCCCTGTCCAGAGAGATTGGATATTACTCCATGGAGATTCTGCCTTCCTCCACGCCCTATGGATCTAGGTTCCCTCCTGAAAGCTTGTAAGCCAGTCATTTTTGCATTGGTAACCCCTCATTTTTGGTAGCCAATGTCCAAGTTGCCCATCCCTGTCTATTCTGTGTATAAAGGGGGTAGGAATGTAAAGATTAGTTCCCTCTTTTGAGCGACTGTATCCTTAGGTGTAAGTCAAGTTCATCAAATTGTATCAGATTACTCTTTTTTTCCTCTTCTTTCTTCTTCTAATTGAATTCTGATCATCCAGCCATTGAAGCTAACTCAAATGGGTATTATCTGCAAGTGTGGGTGCTCTTGTGGTAAGTTTATTGTTAATATTCATTTGTGGAGAAGATTTTTTTAGAGTATTTAAACATTTGTAGGTCCCTCTTAATAATCAAGCATTTTTAAAGTGGAACTAGACAAAATCTTCCACATTAACTGTTATTGTAACAGATTTTAGCTGTCCAAATAATACTAAAACTCCAAATAGAATTAGTGAGCCTTACAAGAAGATAAAGCCAAATATTACAACAAAATGTGCAAAGATCTGGAGTCAGAAAACCAAAAACGAAGAACATGCTCAGCATCTGTCAAACTGGGGGAACTGAAGAAAAAATTTAAGCCTTTACTTTAGTTATTGAAAGATTCTCTGGGCAAATTATTCAATGATGCAGAAAGCATCAAGAGAAGATGGAAGGAATACACAGCATCACTGTACCAAAAGGAAATGGTTAATGTTCAACAATTTCAAGAGGTAGCATAGGATCAAGAGCCAATGATACTGAAGGAGGAAGTCCGAGGTGCACTGAAGGAATTGGCAAAGAACAAGGCACCAGGAATTGATGGAATAAAAATTGGAATTTTTCAAGAAAGTGAGGGGCACAGGAGGCACTCAATCATCTTTGCCAAGAAATTTGGAAGACAGCTATCTGGCTAACTGATTGAAAGAGATCCATATTTGTGCCCATTCCAAAGAGAGGTGACTCAACGGAATGCGGAAATCATCGGACAATCTCTTTGATATCCATGTGAGTAAGGCTTCGCTACAGGTAATACAGAAATAGCTACAATAATACATTGACAGAGAACTTCCAGAGGTTCAAGCCGGATTCAGAAGAGGCCGTGGAATGAGGGATATCATTGCTAATGTCCGATGGATCTTGGCTGAAAGCAGAGATTATCAGAAAGATGTTTACCTGTGCTTTATTGACTATGCAAAGGCTTTTGATTGTGTGGATCATGACCAGCTATGGACACCATTGTGAAGTATGAGTATTCCGGAACACTTAATTGTGCTCATGAGGTAACTACCTGGACCAAGAAGCAGTTGTTCGAACAGAACATGGGCACATTGAATGGTTTAAAATAAAAAAAAAAACAACAACTGTGTGACAAGGTTATATTCTTTCACCATACATATTCAACCAGCATGCTGAGCAACTAATCCGAGAAGCTGGGTTATATGAAGAAAAATGTGGCATCAGGATTGGAGGAAGACTCATTAACAACCTGCAATATGCAGATGGTATGACCTTGCTTGCTGAAAGTGAAGAGGACTTAAAACATTTACTGATGAAGATCAAAGAGCACAGCCTTCATTGCATCTCAATGTAAAGAAAACAAAAATCCTCACCACTGGACCAATAAACAACATTCTTATCAACAGAGAAAAGATTGAAGTTGTCAAGGACTTCATTCTTCTTAGATCAACTATCAATACTCATGGAAGCAGCAGTAAAGAGATCAGACGCCGTATTGCATTAGGTAAATCGGCTGCACAAGGCCTTTTTAAAGTGTTGAAGAGCAAAGATGTCAGCTTGAGGACTGAGGTGTGCCTGACCCAAGCCATGGTATTTTCAATAACCTCATATGCATGCAAAAGCTGGACAGTGAATGAGGAAGACCATAGAAGAATTGATGCTTTTGAGATACAGTGTTGGAGGAGAATACTGAAAAGTGCCATGGGCTGCCAAAACACCCAATAGATCCGTTTTGGAAGAAGTGTAGCCAGAGTGCTCCTTGGAGGCCAAGATGGCCAAACTTCGTGTCTCATACTTTGGACATATTGTCAGGAGGGACCAGTTGCTGGAGAAGGATATCATGTTTGGTAAGATGGAGGGTCAGAGAAAAAGAGGAAGACCCCCAAAGAGATGGATTAGCCAAGTGGCAGCATCAATGGACTCAAGCGTGGCAACAGTAGTGAGGTTGGCCCAGGATGGGGCATTATTTCGTTTTGCTGTGCATAAGGTTGCTATGGCTCTGTACCGACTTGATGGCACCTAACAACAACAACAAACACATTATAAGGAGTCCTGGTGTGGCGCAATGGGGTTAATGTGCTGGACTGCAAAGTCAGTTTGAATCACAAAGTCAGCGGTTTAAGCTCACCAGCTGCTCCTTCAAAGCTCTATACAGGGTCACTATGGGTCAGAATCCACTCAATGGCACTTAACAACAATAATAAAACTCTATAAGCCAGATTGCAAAGCTATTTGAACTGCAAGGTCAGTGGTTCAAGCTCACCAGCTTCTCCTCAGAAACCCTATATAGGGTCGCTGTGGGTCGGAACCAACTCGACGACACTTAGCAACAACAACACTACCAAGGTAACATGAGCAAATAGTTGTATACCCTCAGGGTCTTATGTCCACAGCAGAAAAGCTATTTTGCTGGGGCCAGCATCTTCATTAAGGGAGAAGACTAGCTCTTCCAAGCATCACCCACTCTCCTCTAAGTAAAGGTTACACACTAGATGGCTTCCAGCTCCCTGATGCTCAACAAACTCACCTAACCAACAGGGTGTGGCCGAATCAGCAAGGAATAGCACTTACCGTACACTGCAATGGTCTTTGTGTCCTGCAGGATGGCATTCCCAGCTGAGACCTGCACTGTGATGGTGTTCATTCCTTCAGAAAGAAACTTAACTGCTATGCTGCCCTCCAGGGTGATCAAGGGCTAAAACAAACACGGCAGGGTAGAAAGAAACATTGTTTAGTGACGGATGATGAGTCAGCCCAAACAGTGGACCACCAACAAGCTGTTGAACTCAGCAGGGCTCTGCCTGGTGTAGTCTAGTAGAAGTGACTCCGTTCATGCCCCCTCAATTCAAATCCAACTGAGAAAGGAGACCCTTGGAGCATGATACCCAAGTGATTCTGCTCATCCCTGTGAATTTGACACCTCTTCTGTGTGACTATCTTGACTCAGTGCTGGGGAAAGTGATAGGTCTTATTTGCTACTGGTGTGGTTTTCTTTATAAATAAATATCCTACACATATCATGTAGATTTCTTAACCCAAGGAAAGATTCAGAAAAGACTAGAACAGGGAGTACATGTTAGTCCAGGTTTAAGTAGCTGTCACTGAAAATGTATACGCAGCCTGTTGTTCACTTCTGGAGTGTACTATTTATATAAAATGGAAACACAACACTGCTCCCATGGACACCAAACTCTACTAGTTAGACAGCAGTGACCTTGTGGGCCTTGGCTTCCTCTGAGAAGCTCTATCAGCAGTTTTCTAGATAGCTGCTATGGAAACGAGTACTAATTGGATGGAGGTTTAGGGACTCAAAAAACAAATAAATAAAACACCAAGTTGGAATGGTGCCTGTAATAAACTCGGACGCCAGGGTCCTGAAGGAAAAGATGATTAGCTTGCTGACCTCCCTTGACTCACTCCATACAAACATTTCTTTCCAATCTTTTCTTAATTAATTGTAAAATCAAAATTCATTTAACTCCCTGTATGGCAGAGGGAAGACGAAAGCTCAGCATTAGAAGTCTACTCAATAGGGTCAGCTGAGAGTTCAGTTTTCTTTTCAAAGTGTAAAAATATAAATTAAAGAGAGACACCGAAGACACTTGTTTAGTATTTTCACCTCCCAGTACTAGCTAGCAGGTTTAATCACATAGATTCTTCCATTTCCACTGAGGACAGGGGGTTCAGTGTGAGACAAATTTATAAGCATAGTTTAATAAGGAATTGATAAAAAATAAAAATAATAATAATAAAAAAAGGTTCTTTTCATAACCGGAGTAGATGTGAGTGATTCCTTCCTCTGTCAGACTCTTGGCAGGTCTAGACCTAGTCGATCTGGGTCTGTACCAAGTTATGTTTCCAGTTAGAGTCACAGCTTAGCTCTGGGGTAGATAAGATGCATTAATATCTGATGTATAGTAGAGCAAATTCACCAAGAAAGAGCAACTCTACTGGAAGAAGATCAAACTTGCCCATCCAATCCAGAGCAGTTCATCTCTATGCCCTCAGGAGGGTTACTTGGGGCTGAAGTATCACTGCCTAACAAAGGTTTGCAAGCATTTTAATTTCTGAGACAGAAGCGAGTTGAAGACTGAAACAGAGTCTGTGGCCTGGCGTGATGGGAAGGACAATTAATGGAGGTGTGAGAAGACCTGGAATTGGGTCTGTGTGTGAAGCAGCTGATGGAGATTGGAGCGAACCACCTCAGCTGCCTCATCTTCACTCGCCTCACCTGCACAGTGATGATCTTTGCATAACAAATACTATTACACTTTCTACCGGTTTTACAGCTGTTGCTGATGTTTCATCAAATTTGGGAAAATATACAGGGCAAAACTGGCCTAAAGAAATGGCTATGTCTGATTTATCATAAGAAAGCCACTTAAGGATGGGAGTATCCTGAATTCTGTTTCTTTTGCCTCTCCAGCAGCCATTTAACTTCTGTTTTTCCATTTGGGAACCACTTCTCACATACTTTGTTCACGTGGCACCAAGGAAGGCTGACTTCAACATCCCCTTCTCTTTCTGGCCGATAGTACATGATTCTAAGACTTCCCTTCGAATTTTGGGGAAAGTTTATTTCTTTGCTGAGATGTGAGGGTTGGGTTGTTAAGGATCACTGCAAAAGGAAAAAAATATCATTCTAAACTGAGAAGAATGCCAACACAGAGGATGGCAGAGATAAGATGGAGAATGTTGAGAGTAGAAAGAGACAGAGAGGGAGAGACTGAGACTGAACAAAATGATGAACTAATTTGAGTACAGAGTTCCTCTCTTCCTGAAGCTAGAACTACCACTAGACTCAGGTTATGTGAGCCAAATGATCCTCTTCTTTCATTCAGGAAGTCTGAGCTGAGTTTTAGTCACCAGATCATGCACTGAAGGGCAACCCACCTCCGTATTGTTTCCTTTCCACCACACGTAAGTGAGGGTGCCCACTTGGCTGGGCCACAGCACTGCAGTCGCGTTGACCTCTTTGTTCTTTGTGGTGACAAAGGGAAGAGACAGGTGCACATGCTCCAGGGGACCTGAGGCACAAGAGAAAGAGGGACCCTAGAGCAGGAAGGGCTTTCTCTGCTTCCCAGCCCTGCTCTGAAGAGAACTCATATTCATTCTTGATGCCTTCAAGACACTGCAGCCCGTAGTCCACACTCCAATGCTTTCCCACTTTGGAGAAAAGGATATATTGTGAACAATTGCGTCTCAACAGTTTCCGTTTACAGATCTTTGTATGATTGTAAAACCTGAGTTATTCATATGTAAAAGCTTAGACATTTACAAGCAATTTATGAAGTCCTTGTATTAGATTTCACAGGGAAATGAAAAGTCTTTACAAGATATTTTTTCCCTTGGTGGTAAACCAGGAAGGGACACAGCTCAGAGAATCCATTTTGAAGAGAAATAAATCCTCAAACTGTGCTACACGTAATTATTTAGTATTTATTGGATTTTTAAAGCTTGTGTGTGTGTAAATAGGTGTGTGGGAATGTGGGCAACTTTGTTTTTATCTGAGTATGTGTAAAGCCATCTGATTAGCTAAGCAGGACACAAACTGGTGCTCAGTTTTTCTAAGAGAAAGGTATTCATGAGTAGATACAGATGGTTGTGGTTAGGAGATTTTCAGGATGCACTCAAATAAAAAACAGGATTGTTTTACTTATAGTTACACTTACTTATAGAGGCTCATATAAATCATCAGTCTTAACCAGTGTACACGCTCAAAAGAACTAAAAGGGCCTTTACTGTGACACCAAATCTCATTTTGGGGTTATTATTTCTGGAAAATTGTAGCTGCATTTGAGGTGAACAAGATGCAAATCTACTATCAACATGTTTCTAGAAGTTGGAGAAGACTAGTATGTGAGACCTTTCCATCTGGAATTAATACTGCTTCTTACGCTGCTTACCCTTTAAATATGATACCCAGGGACCGGGCTTTAGCCTCTTTCTCTCTCTACCGCCTCTTCAGTGGGGCAATATCACCCTTACCCTGAACATCAACTATGAAATGATGCTGAGAACTCCCAAGCCAATTGTTTTCACATTCTCTGTATGAGGGGACTTCAAAAGTTTGTGGGAAAATAGAATGAAAATTTCCATAAACTATCTGAAGGCCTCTCATGTCTTAATGGACAACATACTCATCCAGGGACCCAATCCACAAGTAGAACCCAACGAGTACAAGTAACTCCAATCCATGGAAGTAAAACGTCTTTCTTTCCAGTCATCCACATCATCTTAGGAAACCAATGATGTCGTTTCATAAAGAGCAGGCTTCAAAAAGTGCACTATTGTTACTGTTGTTGTTAAGCACCCTTGAGTTGGTTCCTATGCATAGTGACCTGGTGTAGGGCTGCTGAGTAGTAGTTGGTGGGTTTGAACCATTGACCTTGTGATTAGCAGTCCAGTGTTTATCATGTAGGACCTCAAAAAGTTCATGGAACAATTCAATTAAAAAATAATGGAATTTTCCATGAACTTTTTACTCTCAACAATCAGAGATCCCTGGTACATTTTCTAAGAACTTCGCTCACCTGGTCCATTATAACGTTCTTACAGATTTCCCCTAGCCTTTTGCCACTCAAATCCATTCTCCAAACTACTGTGAAAGTGATTTTTCTAGAAAATCAAGCTGATCATGTCACCCACTCTTTAAGATTTCAGATTCCCATTACTTAATTATAATAATCACTAACACATATTGATCTAAACTTTATGAGACACAGGATAGAGATTTCCAATGTCTTAACAGTAATAATCCTTTATTTACCTTTATGGTTAGCTGGCATACAGTTAATATTCAAGTGTGGACCACACATGTGAACAAATGATGTAATTTACTGCTTCTGTCTTTGTTCACAGCAAGCTCTATAGAATAAGAGGCCTAACAGATTTTCTGTCTTATAATTCCTGGTGTCTACTTGCTGCTGGATAAACTCTGTACTACCAACCACAAGGGTAGCAGTTCAATCCTACCAGTCACTCTTGAAAACCCTACACAGGCTTATGATAAGTCAGAACCAACTCGATAAACACTTAACAACAACAACCAGCCATATGTTGGGAAGCAGCTGTTTATAAGTCAGAGCAGTTTGATAACATAATAAGGGCAGGAGGATAGCATTTATTGAGCAAAAACTTAATGCTTCATATTCTGCAAGGCCTCTTACTTTTTTCCCCTCCTCATTTAACCCATGCAACAACCTATGAAGTTCACACTACTACTCTTCCCACTGAATGAAGAATAAAGAGACAGGTGAGTAGTGCAAGGTCACACAGTTAAGAAGCACCCATTCCAGGTGTGAACCTGAGTCCACACTCTGGTCAGTAGACAAATGACCTTTTCAAACTCCTTTTAACAAAAGATCTCCTAAGAGCCATCACTTACTATTCCTTAAATATGTTGGGGGCAGTGGACAGAGCACCTGACAGGTGCTCTAATTTATTGCCTGGCTCTTGCTATTCCCTCAGGACACGTTTTCCTCCAGCCAGCCATGCTTTGTCCTGCCCCAGTGTCTTTGCTTACACTTGTCTTTAATGTCAGTTCCAGAGCCCTTCCTCTGCGGTACTCTCCCTGACTCCCTCGTCTAACTGAATCAGATAGAATGCTAAGCCAAAATGCCAGGGCTTGATTTTCACGTGTGTCTCCCACATCAGAGCATTTTCATTAAAAAGAAAAAAAAATCAGATCAAAGTAAGGATAACTACTACGTGCTTGATAAGTTTGCTGAGAAATGAATCACGTTAAGTGAACTCTGGTCTTTCATTCGCAGAACTTTTTTTAGTGCTGTGATGTGTCATGTGTTTATCCTCATTCATAAACCCAGAAATGGCTGAAATGGCAGCTGACTGGCTCTCCAAAATATAAATATTGACAGAAGGGAACATTTACAGTCAGAATATAGAATCAGTGGCCTTACTATGCTTGGTAAATACACGTTCCATTCTGTTGTTTGATATTAGAAAAGAAGTAAGAACCTCTTGGCTCAAAAAAATAGCAGCTCCTCATGTAAGCTGAAGTAAAGACAGTTGATGAATCATTCAATAGGATTAACAAGACATGTGCTAAGATGCAAGGGGTACAGCGATCACTTCTAAACAAGGGATCTTATGTCTGCATGAGCTGCCCAGTGGTAGCCTGGGGTTAATTTTCATAAGCAAAATGCTTGCAAACAAAATGGAATCCAAATTAGTTGGTTTTAATAGAGATCTGACATGATGCTGTAGGGTAAGCACTAGACTGCTAACCTCAAGCTCAGCGTTTCAAACCCACCAGCAGATCCTTGGAAACGCTGTAAAGGTTGCTATGATTCAGAACCTACTCAATGGCACTTAACAACAATGTGTCAGGCCTGGTTCTAGGTGGTCAGGGCACCTGCACTTGGTGGAGCTTAATGATGAGAGAGAGCAAGGCAGGTGTTAAACACATTCAGCTGGGTAGGTGAGAGGGAATGACAGTCTCTGAGGAAATGACATTCCACCTGTAAGAAATGAAGGGATGTGCCGAGGATCCACTTGGGATTCTCCAGGGTGAAGACTTGAGGGAGGACATGTGTTCACCATGTGGGAGGCATGTTTACGACCAGTGTGGCTGCCAACAAGAAATGTGGCGGGGGTGGGGGGGGACGGAGAGAGGAAGCTAACAGGATCTTAGAGGTAGTCAGTACCCACAGCAGACCAGCCGTACAGGCCCTGAAATCCGTACATGTGCGTTTGCATACATTCATTCTTGCATGTATATTATTTTTTAAAAATCCCTTGCCATAAAGTTGATTCTAACTCATGGATATCCCGTGTGCTTTGGATTAGAAGGTTTTCCTTGCATTGCACCACGGAGGGGATTTAAATAGACAGCCTTGCAATTAGTAGCCAAGTGCAAGCTATTTGAATCACGTTGGGATCGTATTGTAGATGTGTGCACAGCATTTGTTTTTGAGGTTCTCACAAACTCTTGTGTTAATTTAATTTAATAGGTTTAGTACAAATGATTCCCACTGCCCAAAGCCTGTCTTTTAAGATTTTCTGCTATGCACACGGGGTGCAGTCTGTCCTAATGCAGCTGGCTGGCTGGACAGAGAAGGTAGAGCATATTGGCAGACGCTGCATCGATGCGCAAAAGGAACGGTAGGTGGCGCTGCATCCCTTCATATGACTTTTCCTGCAGGGCAGTGGGGAAAACTGGGGAATTACTTGTGTGAATTGGGTTTCCCTCTGCTTTTTTGTTTAGCCTCTCTCTCACAATCTCTTTCCCTGCTACGCACTTTGGCCTACCTCTGGATTCCCTCTCTGACTGCCCAAATTAAACTCGGTCGGTGTATCATATTGCTATTTGTGTAAAGTGTTCAAAAAATGCCACTAGAAGAAATGAAAGTGCACAACTCAAAACGTATCAAAGACAGGATCCTAAAACCGCCTTACTCATACTAATCTATTTAAGCAGGTTACTGAACTCACTAATAGGAATTATAATTCAGCAGTTTGGGGATGGGGCCCAGGACATGGCAATTTTATTATGTAATTCTGGGGCAGGTGGCTAATCAACCACCCTTTGCAAAATATGGACAGACTTTAGCTGACCAATCCCATGATGTGGGAGTAGCTGCAAAACGGCATGGATTTCCAAGAAAGTGTTCCTTCACCCTAAAATGACGGACAAAAAACATCTGAAAATGGGTGCTTACCGCTGACTGTGTGTGTACCCTGAGAAGAGGATTTGAGAGGGAGTGGAATTAGAGGCTTCATCTTTTGTTCACCTCATTCCACAAGTCGTCACAGTCTTCAGATTATTTTCTCTGCAACACTGGCTGTGACAGGCAGTTTTCTGAGCAGAAATCTACATGCTCTAAATCCTCTGCCCATAAGGTTGGATGCAACTCTGGCTGTACCACGTGTCTCATTAGTTCGCAAACTAGCAGAGCACAGTGAATACTCTCCCCAAGGACTTCCCACCTGCCAGGCTACAACATTAACCAGCAGAGCTGCTACCTTCCCTTAAAACCTTGCAGCACAACGACCCTTGTCTCTATTTATTTTTGGTGACTTTTGCAAACCCACATTAAAAAAAATCTGATTTGCAATCAAATGACCTTTCTGTACTGGAGAGAAGCTTAGGAAGGGGAGAGAGGTTGGGGGATGGTGTGTGTGTGTGCAGAGGGCAGTCTTGCTTGGCAAGCTGAGTATGTGTTGCTGATAATTTTGACTGGTTTCGAATGTACAGAGTCCAAATGTATCTGCTACTTGGAGATACTGGAAACATCAAGTTTTACCTATTGATGGGGCACAGAATATTTTGCTTGATGGATTATCTGGGGGTGGGGGGAGGTGCCTTCCAAGAGTGTCAGAAGTACAACTCCAAGCTCTGAGTAACAGAGTGATTTGGTGAGGGGCTTGGGCCAGCTCTGAATTAAACCAGATTGCTTAACTAAGTCCAGTGTTAACATTTTATTTTTCCCCTACAAAGCCACATCTTCCCAGCCTCTATGTCCTGGCACTTTGCATCAATAGTTGCTCAGGAATGACATTCCTCAGGTATAAGAGGGCTGGGAACGTAATTCAATTATGGCCTTCTGAAAAGGCGAAACATATACTTTGACTCTGGCACCATTTTATACTAAAGTATATGTTTCATCTTCTATTTTCTCCACCTGAAAGGATTGGTGTTGCCTGCTATGATAGAGATACGAGGATGCACTTATTTATATAAAGATATGCACATAAGGATACGTGGCTGCAAACAGGTTCATGTGCAGAGCCAAGCACTGTGGCCCTTTAGAGGAAAGGTGCTAGGCAAACAGTGGTACCTTGTCAGAAACTGATGAAATAGCTTTTGAAGTAAATTTTGGATGTACAGGGGAGCATCCAAAAGTAACAGGAAAATTCCATTATTTTTTCTTTCTATTTCCCTACCAAAAATCTTAAGAACACACTCTTGATTTAATGCACTTTATACAAAAAAAGTGCAATCCTGTCCTCAAGACCACACTAGAAAGGGATCTCATTATAAGAAACAGGTTTATCCAACCACTTAATCCAAGATGAGTCTACAGACCTAATATTAGTACACAAAGTTGCCATGTTAAACATTATCTGTAAATCATTTCCCTGTGGTTACGGTTAAATCATTTACCCATTTTTAAGGATTCTAATATACTTTAAGCATTCAGGTCAACAAAGCTGCTTCTTTCTTTTAGATACCATGTCTTTAGTAGCCCTTCATCTTGAGTACAGCACACCCTAAATTGTTTTCCTTCCCAGAATGTGGTGATCCTGGGAGGCATCTGGGGAGATGGAGTCCCTCAAATGTTCTGATTACATCCAGGGGTAAGAAAAAGACACAGGACAAGCAGGAGGTTAGCTAGAGGAGACTGAATGGGAGACTGAGAAATTTAGACCCAATCCGTATTTACACATGGCTGGACTATGGTAGATATTTCATAAATGTAGGGCTATGGAATACAATTATTTTAATTCTTAAGGAAGATCAGTCTCTAAAAAATTCCCCTCATAGAGCAAGCTGGGGGTGAAATAAGCTGCTATGTGAATATTCATTCTCAGCAAACTTACCTTCTTTCATGTTGCAATAATTCTTACTAATTATCAAAGTTTCTAATGCACTTTAAAAAAAATTGTGATTGTTCTTTTGCACTTCCCTGAATACCAATATGGAGGGCGTTGTTATATCTTTATGACAACCCTCTAGAACTGCTCCATTGAGTTTCCAAAGCTACACATCTTTCCAGAAGCAAACTCCCACATCGTTCCTCTGCAGACCAACTGGTGGATTTGAACCACCAACCTTTTGGTTAGCAGCTGAGAGCCTGACCACTGGAGGGTTCCTTACAGGTACCCTATAGGTTGGAATCAACTCGACAATGAAAAGGCAACTCCAGAAAGTCTATAAAGGATGTACTTAGGTGATATTGCTGTTAAATGCCACCGAGTCAGTTCCGGCTCATAGTGACCCTCTATAGGGTTACTGAGGGGCAGCTGGTGGGTTTGAACCATCAACTTTGCTGTTCAAACTGACCTTGCGATTCAGCGCATTATGCTTCAGTGCCAGTAGGACTGCACACTGGGTGCTGTAGTCAGTTATGAAAAGGTCTATGAAATGTGTCTTGAACCCATATTGTTGTATAGCAAATGAACTGCCTCGAAACTAAACGTTCATGTCCTATTGAGATTTTCAGCAAAGCTATGAAGGAAGAATAGGGCTGATGAAAATTTACTCCCTCCAGTGTCAAGCTGGGGTTGGCACTGATACTAACCCTAGTGGTCAAGTACAGGGATTCCGGAGACAGGTAAGCCTCAGTATGAAAGCTGGCTGTGCCAGTTTGAAGGAAAACATGGTCAAATGAGCTATTTCAGCTCTCTGTTCCTCAGTTCCTTTGTAAAGTAGGGTCTCTACTAGAATATACTTCACAGGGTTGTTTTCAGAACAGAGTTGTTGTATGGCATGGAACACAGTAATAGCTTCAGACATTCTCACTGAGAAGGGAGAGGTGAAGCTGGCATGTTAGAAATGACTGTGCTCAGTCTTATTCACACGTGATGGGAGTTTGTGCTCATTGAAGGACTTCTGTCATGAACGTCACCAGAAAAACTGTTACTATATTCGCCTCCATTTGATAAGATGAGCAAGATACTAAGGAGAGGCATGGAGTAATGTCTGGTTTTAATACTCTGGATCTAGACCTTGGCGCTGTAGGATAAGCACTGAACTACTAACAGCAAGGTGGGTGGATCAAAACCCATTAGCCGCTCCTTGGAAACCCTATGTTGTTGTTGTTAAGTACGGTGGTGTCGGTTCCAACTCATAGCAACCCTGCACAGGGTTTCCGAGGCTATAAATCTTTACGGGAGCAGAAAGCCTCATCTTTCTCCCACGGAACAGCTGGTTGTTTCTAACTGCCGACCATCCGGTAAGCCGCCCGATTCGTAACCACTATGCTACCAGAGCTCCATGGAAACAGGGTCGTTATGAGTCAGAAGTGACTTGACAACACTTTAAAAAAAAAAAATACAACAACAAAAAACCCATATAAAGGAGCGACTTTCATTGTAAAATAACCTATTCTCTAGAAACCAAAGAACTCCTGTCTGTAACTATTTGGGGGACACCCACACACCTCACATAAGAGGCATTTGAGACACCCATTTCTATGAAGATTAACTTTGGAATGATCATTGTCTCATCAGATCAGTTACAGGTTTAGATTCATCAGTGGAGGAGAAGGGAAGCAGTTCTTGAAACTGTTTTCCAGTGTACCTTCCCTAACATTGCTGATCCTCTTTGCCCTGCACTACCTCCTCCCTTAAAACAAATTATCCACCTGACAGAAACCCAGGGAACGCATTACAAAAGAAAAAAACAAACAAACAACTACAACTCCCACAGATGCAACAGGCTCTCCCACAGATGCATCAGTCTGAAAGGGTTAATAATAATGAGCCATAACATGAGAAGAGAAAAATACTTAGATGGAAAAGAAACTCATTCACTTAGGTTCATTTGCAACGTATTGCACGGGGCCAGAAATGTGGATTGTTTTCAACCATTTCTGACCCCCTTAAGCTCGTCACAAAAGACAAAATACAACCAAAGAGTTCTGTAACTTTTTCAGACTCAGATATCAGACCCAGGTTTGATATTTTGAAAGCTTCTGGGGGGGCACGGCTAGCGTAACAAGAACAATCTAAAGTAAAAGAGAGATCAACATTTTCCTAATTCCCCTCCTCACTGAGTTTTCTTTTTACTTTCTTCTCACATCTTCCCTTATTCTCGCATTCCCCTTTCTCTTTTGTTAAAAGTGAGTTTCTTCCTGATATGACAGTTGGGATTGATATTTAAAGGGCACGATATTTACAATATATCATAAACCAACAATGGTAATAACATACAAGTTACATGTAAGTACAGGACGGCGTTGTCAGACCCCAGACTGTTGTCCACCTGCACGGTCACTCGGAAAATGCCCACGTTCTGATAGACGTGTTTGATCCCATCTTCCATGGAGCTGAGGTTGACGTAAGACACGGCAATGCCATCACCAAAGTCCACTTGGATAAGTGTCCTCTGCACGTCACCCTGAAAAATACAGCCCAACATCAGAAGGAACCGAGAATGGGTGCAACTTCTGCTCTAGGCGTGCAGGGGCTGGGACTTGTCCTGGTCCTTGGCTCTGGGAGAAGTGCCAGGCTGACACGCTCATCCAGCTGGGAGCATCTGTCTGGATGTGACAGAATTCCCATAACAACCCCTGACAGCAAAGAGTGTGTTAAGACAGACGCTCTTCAAATCTAAAGGGCAATGAGAACCAAAAGTTTCAAGGTTCTGAAAATTAATGGTGTTTGGTTACCAGTTCCAATCTGATACTCAGTTCTGAAGGCTTTGAGAATATGTGTCTGATGTTATCCATAGAAATAAGAGGGATGTGCACACAGTTCTTAAAATGGAAACTATGTGAAATAGTCCTGTACCATTTCCAGCAGCATCCGAGCCCTTGAATCCCCCTCCCTAGTTCCTTAACTGTGTGGGGCAAAGGAGGGAGATATTCAGCCTTCACCTCATAGGACTTTGAATTCAGTTTTGTTACTCAAGAAGGTCAGTGTGAACTGCAAGGCCAGCAGTTCAAGCTCACCAGCTGCTCTTTAGAAACCCTATACAGGGTTGCTACGAGTCACAATTGACTCGATGGCACTTAATAACACCACCTCAAGACATCAATGGTTAATTCTTTGATCTCTCGGTATGTTTTATCTAACAAAACTCTATCAGCCACTTCATCTCGTATTCGGCACAGTGTCATTGTAGAGAAAGCACAGTAGCAATGGCTTCCATTTTACAGATGAGGGAGTTGCAACCAAGAAAGGCGTGATTGTTTACTCAAGGTTAACTCAGCTAGTTAGTAGACGTCCTGAGATTCCAACTCAGGTCTCTGGTCTCCTAGTTCAGTCATTATAGGGGGAATCCAGCACTGTAGGAAAGTTCTGAAGGCTCCTTCAGGCTTGAACCCTAACGTACCCCAAAGGAAATGGAAGGATTTATGTAAGTATTCATATCTCTCTTGGTCTCAGTTACCTAATCTATGAACATGGACGTAAGAATATTTTACCATCTTAACTCAAAGGGGTTGAAATAAAAGAAACATAGGTAATTTGTAATCTGTAAAACGCAAACTAACCTAAATAACTCAAAAACAGTGCAGTTATGAAAGACTGACTAGTTTCCTTTCAAAGCTACATTGGAATCTTATGACTGAGTCTAACGTTTCCCCAAGAACCCTAACTAAGCCCGCTGCAGTTGAGTCAAGCCTGACTCCTAATGTCCCCTGTGTTCTAGAATCGAAGGACTCCACAGGGCTTTGGGGACTGTGATCTTCACAGAGGCAGATTACCAGGCCTTTATTCCATGGTGCTGTGGGGTGAGTCTGACCCGCCAATCTTTAGGTTACTGATTGACTGCAAATCCAGAACAATGCTGGCTTTTGTAAAGATTCAGACCTGGAATAATAGTTTAGATGTTCAAGGAACAAAGTAACTTAGGCCCAAATGACAAAAAAAGATTCTCTCACACAAGTGCATCTTCTAGGGGAGAGGGGCATTTGAACTAGAAATGTATTTTCAATTAAGTAAGGTTCATATGGCATCATATTTCCTGAAAAGGCCAAGTTTAAAATGGTGACATTTAAAAGATTAATTTACAGGAGAAGGAAATGCAGTTCAAATTCTACGAATATACGTGACCTGCTTCTCTGATCTCTGCCCAGTCAAACATCGTGTATGGGGGGCACAATATAGTGCAGTCTCAGAAAGTACTTGGGCAAAAACTCTCCCCTTGGGTGGAAACAGGAAATCCATTCAAAACTGCAGAACATGTCCGCAAGCCAAGGCATGGTGTAATTACTTGAACTTTCCTTCTACTCATAAATATAAATGTCAACCATCCTTGCTGACTTGTTCTTCATTTGGACAACTAAAGTGAACTGACCAATTTCTCATTTTGTTCTTGGTAGGTTTCCTCTCAGGTTTTTTCCTGCCTTTTCCATAGAGATGTTGCTAAGCCAGCCCTTGGTGTGGGCATGGCAGAAGAACCCACTTTCTAATGCCCTCATAGATCATTTACAACAAATGCCAGCTGGTGAAAGAGGAGTATCAGGGGGTAGCTGGGACTTCAGGTTCACATGGAATCAAACAATCAATTTAGTTTCAACTAGAGAGCTAGGGTCAGAGGAAAGGCTGGGAGGAGGGGAGGAGGATGGGAATAAAGAGAGGAAATTGTCAGAGCAGAGTAGTCATCAGTCAGGCAGGGATCGTTGCCTGAAAGAGGACAGACTAGAGATGAAACTTTTCAACCAACTCTTCAGCCTCCACTGATACACAGTAGTTACCCACGTGACTGGGAATCATACATCTTTGGCTTCTGTGTGAGATTTGTGAATCTCCTTTAGTGAGCCCTATCAGTTATATTTGGACCACTTCCAAGGTTCTGTCTATCCGGACTTCTGCTGGCTGTCATACTGAGCTTTTAGCTGATTCACAAACTTCAAACCCACTGCCATTTAGTTAATTCCATCTCACAGAGATCCTACTCGACACAGAACTGCCCAGGAGTTTCCAAGGCTGTGATTTGTTACAGAGAAAGACGATACATCTTTCTCCTAGAACCTGAGGGGGATTAAGCTGGTTGGTAGGTTCCAACCACCAACCTTTCGTTTAGCATCCTAGCACTTTAATCACTGCTCCACCAGGGCTCCTTCTAGCCTGATAGTATTCCTAATTCTCTACTCATGCCTATGTTGTCTTTGTATACCAGTTGAAAGAGCTACATCTGCACTAGTTTGTCAGTACGCTCCCATTACAGAGATGGGTCAGAAAAGCAATTTCATCGGAACTGGACCCTTGGCTTCAGGGGTCCTCTGGTGTGTGGTAAGCCTAGCATCATTATAATGGCACCACTGTGGGACTGGTGTCTCTCTTTGGCCTCTGCCTTCCTTGGGCTCACTATGTTACACATCAGGAAGGTCAACTTCTTTCAGAGACTAAAGAAGCCTTGGTTGTAAGTAGGTAAAGTTGTAATTGAAAGGTTAGTGGCTCACACTCACCAGTGCTCAATGGGAGGAAGTTGAAGTCATCTACTTCTGTAAATATTTACAACCTGGGAAATATTGGGGTGCAGTTCTACTCTATGCTATGAAGGAACTTCAAAAACTCCATGGAAATTTTCATTATCTTTTAATTCCATTTTCCCACAAACTTTCTGAAGCTTTCTTGTATGGGATCACTGTGAATCAGAACTGATTCCAAGGCAGTGGGTTCAGAGAGTATGAAACGGAAAAACAGAGAAGAGAGTCTCAGTCTTGGATCGCTATTTAAATGAGGGCTGCAAATGTATTAATATTAATATCAGGGTAAAAAGAACTTGAAGTACTTACTGGTGAAGATCAAAGACTACAGCCTTCACTATGGATCACACCTGAGCAAATCATGCTATTTTTCAATAGGTTCATATTCATATGAAAGCTAGACAATGAGAAGGAACACTGAAGAAAAACTGATGGCTTTGAATTAAGGTACTGACAAAGAAAATATACTATGGCAGTCACAAGAACAAACAAATCAGTTTTGGAAGAAATACAGCCAGAATGCTTCTTAGAAGCAAAAATGGTGAAACTTTGTAATGCTTGATAGAGTTCAGGGTTAGAGAAAAAGAGGAAGACCCTCAATAAGATGGATTAACACAGTGGTTACAATGGGTTCAAACATAGCAACCGTTTGTGAGGATGATGAAGAACCTGGCAGTGTGTCATTCTGTCGTACACAGGTTGCTATGAGTCAGAACTGACTTAATGGTACCTAACAAGGCTTGTTGTGTATTATCTGGCTGTATGGTCATTCTTTCATTCCTCAACCATTTGTCTTATATACGAATTGGAAGCGATTCCACAGCACTTAACAACAAGCCATGTGTCCGGCATTGAAGGCAAATACACCGGTGACTAAGTAAAAATCAGTCAAACGAAACCAGATGTGGTCCTAGCTTTCATGAGTTTACAGATAATTAGTATGGCATATGGACTTTTAACTACCAAATGGCACACAACATCATGGCAGTAGGTGATATGGAGGCGAGATGTAGTGTTCTAAGCTTGTAGAAGAGGGAGAGCTGGAGATCTGTGAGCTTGCTGTCTCCTAAGAGCAATGGGATACCATTTGAGTGTTTAAGAGTACGCGTGTGTGTCGGGGGCAAACGGTGGCACGTGTTCTTGTTTGAAAAAGATCACTCTAGCTACAATATGAGGGATAGATTGGAAGGGAAGCCAATCAGTGGTAGATTGAAATAAGAGCTGCAACAAAGATCTAAATGCCAACATTAATATCCATAATTTATTGGTTTGAAAGGACAAATCAGTGGATCTCAGTCTTTCCTATCAGGAATTCTTACAGAAATTGAGAGATATGTGGGTGCCCAGTTCCTACTTGAGACGCCCCTACTAGGTCAGGGCTTCTGGGGAGAGGGTGCAGAAGATGCACAGCTGATGCCGGGCTATGCCAGAAGTTGAGGCTCTCTGCTTCAAAATGCTGACTATTAGTTCTTCTTGTGATTGGGTTCATCTGAATGTGAATACAGTAGAAACAAACTAATGCTATTCCTATCCCACTTGGATATGACAATAAGAATTCACCAGCAAGTTTCAAGACTCCAAATGCTAAGACTGCATTAACAAAGCAGTGATGGAAGAACTCAATTCATTTCCAGTGGATTGGAGCACAGTTGTAAGCCAGGTTACCATGACGCAGGCAGCCAAGATCAGTGACGTTCTGTAGGAAAATGGGCTATTGGCTGACACTGAGGTAGTTTGGGTCAATTCTTGAGGATTGAGATGAGTCGTGCTCATTGCTGCATCCTCAATACAATGCCTGCAGACTATTCATCAACATTAAAACAATTTTCAATATTGGGTATTTCTAATGTGATTATTTGTTAAATGCTTTCTTAAATATTATTAGGCTGTTAGGAGACCTGGGAATTAGGGAGGGCAAATCTTTTTCATTTAACTGTACCAGGAGTATTAGGACACAGAAAGG